CCCCCATCCACCTTTATTCTTTTCTTTACAATAAGGCTTTCAAATAAGTCATGGTTGCACGGCAGTGAAGCATTGGTGTTGAGCACTGATGTCATGCTGTCGTTGATGATGATGATGAGTTGGCAGATGGGTTGGTTGCACTGCACTGTAAGACAGAGGGGAGTGTGGGCGAAGGCCGGTGAGCGAAGAGCTGCAAGGAGGAGTGATACTCCCCGGCTGCCCAGGTCAAAGGAGGAGGTTTAGGTGAGGCACCCTACGTCGAGCCGTGGCTGAGCCAGGATTTTCCGATCAGTAGGTTCGTGCCCTAACATCTACAGCTGCCGCCTGCTGAGAGAAGTGGAGTCTATTTGTTGTGTTCGACGATTAATGGAGTGCAGCGACAATCATTATAAGAATGGAAAAGACTGAAGGCTCGGGGGCTTGGTTTTGTTCATCCATGACTTTGGAATTGAGAGCTGAAACGTCAAAAAAGTGATTTAGCAGTGGACGGTGAAGAACAAAGCAAATATACAATATGCGACCCTTCCTGTGTTTGGGTGAAGATGCTGGCTGATATAGTGGCTATGGAATGTCAGCTACTGTCAGTCTCACCATCAATTTCCAAGTTGAGTGAGTGTGCGTAGGCACCTTGGTGTTTATTTCAGGCTTGCCCTGAGTCCATCACACTGCCGCAGTTTTTTTTCAGATAGATTCAAATAGGTTGACACGGTCGTGTGGTGGTGAAGTGCCCGTGTTTTATCTGGTGTTGCTGTGAATAATGATGATTATACTGGCGGAAGAACTGATGGGTCCTTCGAGAAACAACACTTTCAAGTGTACTTTTTAAAAATTGAGTCATTTTCTCAGTCAGCGGAGAAATATCACAAGATTCTACGGCGAGAAAAGAAAGTTTGTCTCGAGAGAGAAAGCGGATAGAATAAACTGGTAAGGCGGCGGTCGTAAGAGGGATTAAGCGTCTGGGCGTTGTGATCCTGAACTCCAGTCGGAGTGAGTTGGAGTCTCAGTGAGCAACAAAAAAGCGGAATCGAACGACAGGACTCGGTGGTTGGAAGCAATGTTGCAGTCCAATCCGGGAACGCAAGCCTTTAGACCCGAACGAGTGAACAGAGCGGGGTGTTTTTGTAGGCTGCATTTTCATCTTTGTCCGTTAAGCCAAAGGCCGGTATCCAAACTCTGAGGCTCGAAGTGGTGAACCGCATGAAGCCCCTGTAGGCTCGGCTGTGCTAACTCCACGGGCGATGGCATAAGCTGCCAACTAATCCGCCGTCCGCCCTGATTTGCTTATGAACTATAGAGAGCCCTGTGGATAGTCAACACGATACTTTCAGTGTCTGGCAATTGGTCATTAGTCTGTTTTCTCGGTTCTGGATATTGGATCAGCTAAGTCTGATGTCCCTCCGCAGAAAGAACTCGCCGACGGCACCTGAACGAATCCTGCTCCGTAGCTTGCACTGGTGCTGGTTTGGCTATTAAGTAAACGAGATTCTCCGGGCGAATTCGGTCGCGTTGCTAGCTGACATCTGCCTGGGTGACGGTCCCAAGGTGAATGATTGATAATCGATTACTTTGACAGGCATGGTCCACTGGTGCACATAGTTTACAGGCATTCATCGCAGTTAAGCATCAGTATTTCTCTACGATGTTTTACCACCGATGACGATAGGGATAATGCCGATGATGTTGACCGTTGGTGGTTGTTGCTTCATGGTTTGTGATGATGATCATGGCCACTCCCTTCAGTGCGTGGATGTCATACTCTCCGCCCCATGGGGCTAGCATAGTTAAAGACTGGCGAGACCATTACCTTCAACAGTGTGCTCTCACCATTTCCTCTATTTGTGAACGCACTTTTAGCTTCTGAAACTAACACCCTGGTGCATGGTATACGGTTGACAAACTGAATGGTTCTGGGATAGCGCTTGACCGGGAATTACATTTGTCAGTACTTACCAAACGTGCACAGCCAGATCTCAATGCATTTTGTCCCTTTTCGCTCGTTTTTGTTTGATATTCTATCGATTGAATATGTGGCACCATAATTCTGTATTTAGCTTGATATTTGCGAAGTCCTGCAGTCCAAAACTCTACTCCTGTGCACACAGTGATACCATGGCTTTCTCTTTCAGTGTGCATCCCGGGATACTCCATCCGTTAAAAATGTCCCACGCTCCTGTTCTGTTGTTTCTTCTCTGTGCATTGACTGTTAGCTCACATGAAGATCATAATGAGCCCCCTCACTTCAAATACTCCCGGGAAGCTAATACACCGTAAGTGATTGCATCCATTGGCTTTTACCAGTACTCCAGTGCAATTTCTGAATAGCAGTTAAACTTAATCTTTCGGTTCCAAGCTATTTGGATGGACAACGATTTTATCTATCTTTAACAGTTTCCGGTGATTCCAGATCTTCCTGCCATATTGTCAGCCCACCAGTCTACGTAACCAAATTGCACTGTAGTAGCTGCGCTGCGCTCAAGCTATGCATTCCAATGGGCATGGTGAGCAGCTTTAGCGAAATGGATTTGCCAGTGCGACTCATCACAGAACTAAGAAAACTGATCAATGTTCATCATGATGTCGCAATCTTTGATGCTTTAGTATGTGTGCTGCCCCCTAACCATGTCGAACGAGAACGCTGCAATGTCACCTACCGCAACACCAGGTTCTGATAAGTTGTTCGGGTTCATTTTTAAAAAGCATGGTATAACCACCAAGTGTCAAATTTATTGCACCCATGTAGTTTGTGAGCCGTTGCGTGAAGCTATATTAGGGCTGGTGTGGTGGCGTTTAGAATTTAGCAGCAGTTAACAAGACGTGTTACGGCTACGACAAACCTATTGCTACCGTGAAGTCCCCTGTAACGCGCAATGCATTTGACGTTATGAATCCGGACTAGCTGATGGATAACGGATATCGAGACTGGTGATGTAACCAGTGATACCTTGGAAACATCTGTTTGCGCAAATCCACTAGTGACGAAAGGCGGAATAGTCGTTGTGGTGAGCGGTGTAATGGCTTGGTTTTACCCGACGATTCCCATGTTTACCGTTGCACTACTGAAGCAGCAACTGATGTAATATATCTCTTCAACGATGCTCATTTGTATCAAACCAAATCGTCTTGTTTGAACACGCTGCCCGCTGGTCTTATGGAGCGTCAGTTCAGTTTTCCAGCTGCAAGTATGGTATCGGCTCCAGCTCCTGGAGGTTTGGTCACCGAGCAATGGAAGACCAAGGTAGATATGCTGAGTCGTTGGAAGCACTTGTGTTGTCATCATCGTCTTCAGCCGCGCAGTGTTTATGGTTACTGCAGTTTCGCTTGCCGATATTTAGAGTACTGGGGTAAATACAGGGGTATCAGGGGACTTTTCATTGAGGAGATCGGGACGACAGCCACTCATTGGAAGCAACACCTTGTATGCATGAGCGCCATTGAGGGTGCGACTGGACATTTCTCATGATTCAGCCACTCATTGGAAGCAACACCTTGTATGCATGAGCGCCATTGAGGGTGCGACTGGACAATGTCTCATGATTTCTCTAGCGATCGATGTTTGCCGTTTCGGGGTTCGTATCCATGGAGATGGTAATCACCAGCACTGTTTAGTTTGCTGGTAACGGCTTTCACACTTCGTTGCTAATTCACTGTTTGACTTCCCCTGGCTGGTTTCCACCTTTCACGTGGGTGTTCGAAAAGAGCTCTTCAAGGAAGTCGGTCAACTAGCATACGGAGCAGCCAGCGTAACCTGTGGAGTGTGATCAGTTCATCTGTCATGGGTAAGTTATTTCCTCCGTAAACCACTCGATATGCTTCAGCATTGCCGATCCGGTGTTCCAGACTCGGGCAGTGCTCTGAAGACACCGATATTCAAACACTGACGTCCTAGGCACGCAGCGGCCAGGCTTATGAACTGTTTAATGCTATGCAGCGCACCGCAACATTGTAAACTTGACTCCTGATTGATGAGTGGTTATCACGCCCACGCCACAGGTGATGCAAGTTCACATCTACTCTGGCCTTCTCAATCTGGATGAAAATATCATGTTTGCTTAGACCGCTGGGATTGATACAGCTGCCTGGGTAGAATAAATTGTCTGCTACCTCAGCTGGCCTATCTACAAGCATGAGTTTCCGGGTCAAGCCCACTCCCCTTCTTGCAGCAGCATTCTACAGAGCAGGTGAGAAGCGCATGCCAAACCATGAGGCAGAATTATTTGATTATTCAGTGTTGTCTGAATGGCAATGGCGTTGGATCCAATAAGAGCTATGTCGTCTACGTAGTCAATAACTATGAGCGAATGCCCCGGGAGCATTTTGAGAACATAGGTACGAGAGACTGTGAGTTCCCCATACATCAGTGACGTAGGTGAAGGGGAGAGGCGAATGAGGACAGCTTTGTCTGACGCCACTCGATGTAGTGATTTCAGGACGGAGCTTCCCGTAACTCTTCGCGCATCGGCGGGTGTTGGAGTACAGCATCTTAAGGATTGTAAGGGACACCTTCGCCCCATAGACACCACCATAGTGACTGACGATCCAAAGAATCAGAAGTAATTTCAAGTCATGGAAGATCACCATTGCTGTCACTAAAAGCAATGTCGCTGTTTTAGAGACTGTTGAAAGGTGAAAGTGTGATCGGTGCATCCTTTTGCCGGGCGGAACCCAACTTGGTTTTCACGGGTTTGTCTCTCCCTGTCTTCAGTCAATCTTCGAAAGACGGGACCTTCGATGCCACATCTATCAGGCCAATGCCAAGATAGGTTCCACACAGAATCCGCACACCATTTTTGACGATGAGTGTCCGCGGACACTTTCTCTTCTTTTCATATCCCATCAGTGGGTTCTGTCAGATGGATCACAAGGGATTTTCCACCTTCTTTTAAGAGGGCTGGATAAAGAAAATTCGGTCCCTGTGCCTTCTCACGACACACCTTATTCTGATGGGCGATCAAAGTTTACATTTCATTTGTCTCTGTGCACATTGTGTGCTATGTTACACGAGGCCAGCTAAACTGTTCGCTTTTGCGAGTGAATTGATGAGTCGTCATTTTCAATTATCGTTTTACTGACTTGCTTTCTTCTGACCAGCCGATCCTGACAATATCCAGCGGTCATTTGATCGGATCGAAAAAGTTGAACAGACAACACTGAACGCTACTAGCATAGCTTTTTTCACGTTTTGTCCTGCCACGAGTGTAGTGTCGGTTAACTGTAGAGTAGTTGAGCTAACTCGATTCGATACTGGTTAGTTATGGTAGTTTTCCAAGGATGATGGATTAGCATGTTTCTTTCTGACTTTCGAAGGGATACAAACTGTCATGCGCGCTTCGACCATGATGTGATTAGAACCAAGTTATATGCCGGAGAAATTCAGCTGATGGGTGGAGCACTTCAGTTGGTTTCTTAGCCATCTAGATACCTCATGCAAAGGTTTCATCCTCCACGCACTGCGTAACTTCGACCACATCACGCCGTCAAGGGGTCACAGCAATAATCAGTCGACTGAACAGCAAAAACGTCAGAGCAGGATGCAACCCCTTTAAAATCTACAGTCGTTTCGTGATATTCAGTATTAGGAAGTGTTTTCATCCCAGTTGAGTGTCACAAGTTTTCTGCGACCACCAGTCCGCTGCTGACTTTCACTGAGCTCTCTATCTTCCCCTACCTAGAAATTTTGCGCTAATGCAAGTTAACTCTTGTCAGGGTCTTGATGATCAGTTGTGTCGGGCCCATTTATACTTCAACAAACAATAGAGTTTGTCTGATCGGCTTCTGTCCATCGCCCGACTGAACTGCTCATGGGGTTTAGCCTCATCCCAGCACTGAAATACGTGAAATACATCTCTATGTTAATACATATAAGCCATTATCATAGTTATGTTCTGTGACTACATGGTGAAGTCCTTTTACCACATTACCACACCTCTTTTAGCAAGTTTTACCCGTTTCCTAATGTTTTCCTACCGCAGACTCCCAAAACCAGCTGGCGCACGCATACTCAAACACAGTCTTCGGAGCGAGTCGGCACAACAGCTATGGCTAGAAACTTCCAGTGCTGTTCTTCTGATAAGTGTGGCCCCTTTCTTGTCCCTAGTCATCCTACCGGATCTGAACAAATACCACGGGCTACTGAAAGTCCTCCTCGCCTTTGCCGCTGGTGGTCTACTGGGGGATGCCTTCCTACATCTGATTCCGCATGCTATTGACAATGGCCATACTCATGACGATCACGACCACACGCATGACGCCACCGGCAAAAGTCACGATCACACGCGTCACATGATGGTTGGGTTGTCTGTGGTGGCTGGGATCTTCGTTTTCCTCTGTATTGAAAAGTCCATCCGGCTCATCCAGCATGGCCACGCTGGGCACAGCCATTCAGTCTCCGTACCAGAACAACAGTCCCATATAAGCGCCGAAACTAATAATGGGAAATCTAAGAAGAACAAAAAGGCTGGTGGAGACGAAGCACTACAGAAGCGTGAGAAGAAAAACAAGACCCATGGACCAGGTAGGTTTGTGGACTGCGTTGGGCACAGTTTTGATTAAAATTCTTTATACGAGTCGATTGTTGAGTATAGTGAAGTGATTACCTAGGATGTGGGGCAAAGGTTTTGAAAAGATAATTCAAGGAATCCCCCGAGGTCTAGTGCGAGGATGCTACAACTAGGTGAACTTACTTCTGTTTCATAACAGCTATCGATCCGAGTTTCACACGCTATTGTTTGTTGCCGCCTAGAAAGTAGGGACTTGACGGAGTTGGGGTTAAGCTTTGTATGGATTGATGCGTTTTCATGCGTGAATCTGCCACTTAATTTATTGCGGCTAACTCCTCTCGGATGGCGAGTAACTTCATTAGTGTTTCAAGTCGCCCTACTCAGGTAATAGGTAATAGTTTGTGTACATTTCAAACTGGGTGACCATAGAGTTCCAAAGGGATTCACCTTTCGTTTTTCAGGTAAATTTACACACTCGGTGCGATCTACAGGGCAGTAGGAGAAAATGTAGGCAGTCGATAGACAGAATCGCCAGTAACGTGTCTGAATTCCATTGGAATTCAGAACTGATTTAGTTCACGGCTACCCTCACCTTCGATGCGATAGACCCGGGTGTGACCGCAGCTATTTGGATCCATACATCAATTGAGAACCAAATGTTGATGAGTCTCTCCTTGAGAGCACAACAAGCGTATCAGCCAGTTTTACTATCCCATGTACTAATAAACTCTCCCCTCATTGGCCAGACGATCAGCAACAGCCTAGCCATATTCTAGCCGGATGGCCAAAGTGTGATGGCTCCCTTTCGAGGGTCAAGGCTCGATCACTCATCGGCACTTTGGCTGCAAGCTCCCATCCTCGCTAATCTGTATGCAGTGAAGCATCAGTGGCAACACTGATGTTGCTGTCCTTGATGATGATGATGAATCTGTATGCCAATTGTTTGAGAAGTAAGAACCTCAAAATAGTACCACTTTCAGTGTTTCTGTGCGTAAACATGCCCCCATGCTTTTATCATTTCTGACTGGATACGTGGTTCTTCGTGTGATAAGTTTCGGATATGCATGTTCCCGGCAGTCTACAAATGAGCAGTAGAGAGATAGAGTTAGTGTCGCCTTCCGGACATCTTCAGACGGATAACGGTTTAGAATACTGCTGTTTTCGAATCTCCATTTTGCGCTAGATGGCAGATTTTTAATCTGAAACTTTTCGCACTCGTGTCCCTCTAAAAATACACGTCAGTGTATTTTTATTTTTTATTTTCTAGCATCCGAGTTCAAGGTGACCGGGTATTTGAATCTGGCCGCAGATTTCACCCACAACTTCACGGACGGATTGGCAGTTGGTATGTAGCTTGACGTTTGATCTCTGTTCATCTTCCCTCTCTATGCTCATGTTTTTCGGTACCGTATCACGTTTATTCCTTTCGTTTCAGGCGCCTCATTTCTTATCAGCCGGAATGTTGGAATGGTCACCACACTGACTGTGTTATTGCACGAACTACCCCATGAGATTGGTGATTATGCTATTCTGATACGTTCTGGATGTTCAGCTCGCAAAGTGAGACTTCCCAATTGTTCTTTTTTGCTAGTGACCTCCTTAACCAGCTTACCGAACCGAATTTGAGACTAGCTTATCATGGGAACTAAGTAAATAGACTACTGGGCTGTTGTCTGCGGATGGAATACATCCCCTGGCAACTTTCCAGGTGCGAGTAGGTAGGCTGTTCATCCTGACAGGTCGTCATCATCGTTGTGACTGGTGCTTGGAAGCGAGTTACGTAACGGACAGTCTCTTAACTCTTCACATACTGTCTCACATTCTACGCGATAGGACCACTGCGCGCAGTCAACATGTGACACCGACCATCTCTGCAGCGTATCTATCAAAAGTTGGCTAGCCCTGACTTTCTCGGCGTTATTCTGCGCGATGTTTGCTTGAGGTATTCGTACTTGACCTACTTACTCCATTTGGCCGTCACCTCACCTCACGAAGGCGTCCAGCGGTTGCGCGTTGACGTGTTGACGTTGATTACGAGCTTTCAGCGACCCCTGTGTTCAAAATCGCTCACTATTTCCTTACGTCCAAGCAAAGATGCCTCCATGTCAAATAAAGTGCTAGAGCGTGCTCAACGTCACACGTCCTCTGTCTCTACTTTTCGAGTCCCAGTCTGCCTGATACATTGAATCTCGGCGTTATTCTGCGCGATGTTTGCTTGAGGTATTCGTACTTGACCTACTTACTCCATTTGGCCGTCACCTCACCTCACGAAGGCGTCCAGCGGTTGCGCGTTGACGTGTTGACGTTGATTACGAGCTTTCAGCGACCCCTGTGTTCAAAATCGCTCACTATTTCCTTACGTCCAAGCAAAAATGCCTCCATGTCAAATAAAGTGCTAGAGCGTGCTCAACGTCACACGTCCTCTGTCTCTACTTTTCGAGTCCCAGTCTGCCTGGATACATTGAAAAAACGGTTGAAGAATTCTCAATCAACTGGAAATGTTTGAGATCGCTTGCTTACAATATCCAAGCAGAGTAAGATCTAATTAACCACCCCCAGCCCCAGCCAAAAACCAATTGTCCAGGCACCCCTCGACGAACACGGGCAAGCAAAACCTGTGAATGGTCCCAAGATGAGTATTCCATTAAGGTGTCCTAGACGGAAAACGTAACGCCGCAAAATCCGGGTTCAACATAACCTAACCAGTCTTTCGTAAATGTTAGTCATCCCCACTAACCGACAGACAGGAAAATCAGAGTGACATCCAGCACTGATCAAGTCGGCCACTTGTAAGAAATCTCTCGGATTGGTTACCTGACTGCTTTAAAACCCGATCAACCTACTTAGTTACTCACTTGGCCTGACGAAGCCTTCGTGTCAAAAGCGAAACGTTGCCCAGCAAAGATGGAGCATTCTCTTGACTTCTTGGTTGGGCATTCAGTCATCCTTATCGTCCATTTAAATGACTGGTCACCGCAAGTCCGACTTCATTTTCCAGTCGGCTGTCCGGTTAAGTCCCATACCAGCTTCTTGTGTTTTTCCTTGGTCGGCTAACCGAGTTTTTCTCACAGCGGCTATCACTGGGACACGCTCCAGTTCCATGGTCGTAGGGGTTATCCACCATATAGGCGTATCGCTTCCACTTTTGTCGAAAAGGCTCCAATGTTCTCGATTCCCAGTTAGATTTGGCATGTCATCATTCTTCTTTACTGGTGATTTCTAACTGGTGCCGTTTTCAGATCGTCAGTACTTTTAGGCTCTTCCTGGTTCTTTGATTCAACTGCCTGAGCTGTAGTCTGACAACTGTCGGTTATCTCTTGCCAGAGCAGATTTATGAAGGAAAACAACTGGCTTAGACCGAAAATTCAAGGCATAAATGTGCACAACAGCTGCGTTTCGAGCCCCACCGGACTTATAGCTTCTAACAGTATTTTGAATGTCTTAGCTAATGCGCCGGCCAATCGTTAGAGCTCGAGACCCCCTTCAATATCTCCGCCAAGATAATTCAGATGCTTAGATTATTATGTTATCAATTCTGCAAATTGAAACTCTGGACCCCGGTTCATTTCCTTCATTGAATTTGTCTCTATCCACACCTAACCTCTTAACCCTCCTGCTTATTGAACGTATCTTCGGATGTAGTCCCTCGTCTGCTTTTGCAAAGATACAGACTACAAACACGAAAGACGATTGTGGTAAACAGACTACTTACTATCAGGCAGTGTCTTTTAAACGGGGAAGCAAGGTAGATCAACTAGAACTGCGGGTAAGTTGCCTCCAAATGCTATGTGGTTCAAAATATTTTGTACATGAAAGAGTGACGTGTTCGCGCAGAGGATATCCGAAAACTCGGCGTTTAGCCATTGGTGTCTTGTGGAAAAATCGGATCAGCAAAGGTGGGATACACTAGATGTTTTTAGGGATGAACTCTCGCACACTCACCTCATAAGTTACGTTGGTTAAGACATGTACTTCGCACAATCAAAGACCGTCTCTTTGTGGTTAGACATGTGCTTAGTGGAAACGATCGAGAAGTGGACAGGGTATGACCGGAAACGAAGCATCAAGGCACTAACCGGTAAACTCAGTCGGGTTGACAACTGCTGTTTCACTGAATGGGGAAGCCGGGGCCAGGTGCCAGTGGTTAAAGCCAATGGCAGACATGGCTCAATCAAGCGGTCCGTGACACTCCCGTGTAGAAGCTGTGACCTTCGATACGTAGTTTCCCATTCCTTAAAATGACTGCACTAATTTAATACGAACTAACTGATTACGCCATCGCCTACAATGTTTGGCTATACTTCCTCGTTGTCCCATTTTTGGTGACAGAAAGTATAGCGAATGGAACCAAGGGGCTCTTACTACATGATTTATAGCTGTTAAACTGAACTGCCCTGCTTGTGTTAGGTTACTGTCCGGATTAATGCAACCTCTGTGTCCAAAGTCTCTCTTCGGTGTGTTAGAGACACGTTTGTTGACCGCAGCTTCGTGTGCGTAGCACATGTCGAAGGATTAGCCGATCTCCTATAACCTTTCAATTACCGTTTTTTCTCTTTAAATTGAAATTGGTATAGCTTGCGTATTCAAGTTCAACATGGTTCTTGCTCGGAGAGACCTACTTTAATTCCGTCTTTCATCTTACCCGTGACGAAATTAATGGAAAACGAAGTGTGCATCCTTGTCAGAAGCCACTTCTTGAAATGCAAATACATGCAAAGATTGCATGATATTGACGAGCGTGTACGATAGATCTAGTTCTACAAACGCGCTGAGAACAAGAAGTCAATCAGAAGCGTCGATCGCACCTTTGAAGTCAAAGAGCACCCAATTTGTAGCATACATCTACACGTGCGTTCTCTGATCTTTGGCAGTGCGAAAATGTGGCCCACACAACCCTTTCCCGGTCAGATTCCTGCTTGCTGTTCTTGGGTCTTACTTCCACGCGTTCTCGTGAAACAAAGTAAGGTAATCGATACAGAGTCTAATTACAACAGGATACAAACCAATTCCTTTGTGTCTACGACAATCGACGTTGTACTCCAGTTGGCTGTAGTGATCTTATTCATCAAACTAGAGGCTAATATATTAGACAGGTAGTGATTGAGCAGTTCATTTTTATCCCTTAGAGTTCATCAGGGCTCCAGCAACTTATTCGCGCTATTTGAGTGCTTCTGAACTGACAAAAGGTCCCAAGTTTGCGATCGAAGACTTCATTACTGGTCAGAGATGACAGGTGACCAGTTAAAATGTTGGGTTTTCAGCCCGACGATTAAGCCGCATTTTTTGTCGTCAAGCCTATCTCTCATGAGGTACCTTTTTGTACCTGTTGCGCGCTGGTATAGTTTTCACAGATTCTCAGCCTTTCTCACTTTGGCTTTCTGGACCCACCAAGGTCCTGAGTTCTCGCAAGTGCTCTTTTCACCTGAAACTTCTTCGGGCTGTATTGTACTCTGTTATGCAGTGACAGGTTGTTGAAATGTATTCAATTACTTGTAATAGTTCGGTAGGGGGCGAGGTGGCTCTAGTAGTTAGAGCGTGAATTTACTGACCGGAAGGTCCATGGTTCGAACCCGACCTCTGACTCTCGACTTCCCCTGTCTGTGTTTGGGCAGCCTGGCAGTATCCCAGCCCTCGTGCTTGCTTCGAGCGGAATGGCAACTAGGCACCGAAAAGGTGCTACAGCTGAGAGATTTTTTTCATGTATGCTTGTGTCGGTTTGACTGCTCTAGTCAAAGTGACCAAGTTATGGCTAGTCAGTTGTCTAATGGTTCGGCCGCCGTTCGCAAATACTAGCGACCTTCGGCTGTGGTTTTTTAACGTATGTTAACGTTTAGTTCCTGTGACTACAATCTTCCCGATTTCCATCCACAAAAATAATTAAACCAGTTCAATTTGGCTCCGTGCGTCCTAATTGGGGATGAGTTTTTAACATACAGCGGACAAGTTGACATTGCCTTCGATAAGTTGACTAGTGGAACGAGAAAATGAATACATACCGAATAGGAGGAAATTCAAAATGAGGTGGTGTCTAGGATCATCGCGTTGAACCGGGATTCTCAAGTAATCGGCCCACTTTTATTTTGGGGTGAACGTGCGAGTTTGAAACAAGTGCGATTGAAACAGAGTTGTTGACGGTCTACATTTTGATCATTTCTTTCCTCGGCCGGAACAAATACGTATACAATTGAAGTCCGGATCTTCTAGGATACGAACTTGGGAAAGGATTAGACATGGCAGCTAAAAATTCCTTGACTCAGTTCAGCAGTGCAACTAAACAGGGTTTCCAGTCACTGACGCTCCGTCCTTTCCGTTGCTCAGAGGATTCTTAGATGCCTCCTTCACTCACCTTTGCTTCACATTATACCGGTTTGGTGTTTTACTACTATATATATATATATATATATATATATATATATATATA